CGCACGCACGCACGCACGCACGCACGCACGCACGCACGCACGCACACACACACACACAGTTTTCTTTCCCTAGTGTTTTTTCATTGTCTTTTTTATTATTTAATAACTTTTATTAATAAAGGTACATACATTTATTTGATATCGTTACATTTCTTTGGCGTTTTGATTGAAAAAAATTCTTCATAATATATGTTCACCTTTATAAAAATTATAAGCAATAGAATTGGGTTGGGTACATCATGTTCAAGTGTGTCGTCCCATAGGCCTATGCATTTTCACAATGCATGGTAATCTTTAATTTTTAAGTAACCATATATATTGTAAAAACGGGCCACAGTGTAGTACCGAAAAAATAATATTTCTATTATTTCAAACTGTTTTAGTTTAAACTGCTTTATTGTACATTATTATTAAATATCATGTAAAATTAATTTATTAATTGTTATTATCTTTCTTCCTGTCACTTAATGTAACTAAATTTATATTAAATGAAATTAAAGTAAAATTACATTTAATTTTTTATTTTATGTAATTAAAATGTAGATATTATTTATTTAAAGAATATTTATCAATATTTTAAATTTTCTTTCGTAATTCTTGAGGAATATTTCATTGAAAATAATATAATATGCTATACATATATCATAATTTTATCACTAATCTTATATATAATATATTAAAAAATACATACACAAATTTATCTACCTCTTAAATTTGTATCAACTTGACTATTATTTATTATTATTAAAGATGGAGCGCAATTAGAAGTTTTAGAAATAAGTCAGTGGAAATTGTAGGAAATTACGATGTATATATGTGAAATATATACAAAAAAATGTTAAATTTTAATAAAATACAATAAAAATATTGATTAAGTATATTTTATATAATTAAAATGAAAAGAGTAACACTTATAATGTTAAATGTCATTATATCTACTTTAACTACATTATTATTGAAAGTAACCATAGACGATAATTATTATTTAATTAGAATGTCCGTAAAAAGATCATCCATAAAAATTTAGAGAGGCTGATTTAACATTTCTTTATTACTACAGTGAACAGAAAATACATATTTGAACTATACCACAAATCAATCCGAATGACAAAACGAGTTTGGTGGTCGACGCGTTTTTCAAGTTAGACGACATGCATATAAGACGTACAAGTTTGCTGTTATCTCTCGTAAGATTATATAAAAATACAGACCATCTGCGCGGCAGAAAGTGACGGAGGAATAATACGCGATAGAAATAAAAGGAGATACGAGAGCGCGAGATGCGAATAGTGTGTTTGAACAGAGATTGACCTAGGCAACGTAAAAAATTATAAGCTTTAGTTGCCATCTTATCGCGCTCATATCACCATTCCAAAACAACAAATACGATCGTTACAACTAGATCGCTGCGAAATGCAGAGAAGAAGAAGTAGAACGACTTATTAAATAATCTTGTTCGTCGAAACGAATAATATTCGATTTTCGCGTATTGTAAAATAATTTATGTGATTCATGTTCCTTTTGTTCTTTCGCTGCGAATGCGTATTGTGGAACAAAGTTGTGATATCTTTTTTTCGTCTGTATTTTACAGTGAGTGATCAGCATCTCGCAGACGGTGAGGTGAAGAAACAAAAAATACCGCTAAATATCGATATCAACATGCTGAAAATCGGTTTCCTCGGCGGAGGAAAAATGGCTCAGGCACTTGCTAAAGGTTTTATACGAGCAGGTAAATAATTTTTTCTATGTATATATTCTTTAATAATATATAATTTTTTTCATTTAATGTTATATGTTTTAACAATATACAGATTATCAGTTATATTGATTTGATCAACAAAAGTTTACTGAAAACATCTCGGAACATCTATTTTTCGCATTTTCTTATATCACGAGACTTCTCTCATTTTACAGGTTTAAGCAAAGGCGAAATGATATTGGCTAGCTGTCTTCCAAATGATACCGGCAGTATTGAAACTTTTAAGGTGAGATAATAAACAGTTTATCACATAAAGAAGATTCCGATAATAGATCGAAAGATGCTTCTTTTGTTCATTATATATTGTTTGATAAGAATACCACCGGTGATAAGATGCGATTTCTCATCGTAATGAATCCATGGTAATAATCGGAGATGTAAATTCTTTTAATATCTAATATTAAAAATATTTAATAAAGAGAGAAAGAAACATTCGCATTTCATATCACAATATTTTGTGAGACTTTAAAAATAAAAGATTAACTTGATCAAAATATTTATATGTTATGATCAAAAGTCAATATTTTATACATTATATATCATTACATATCATATTTTATAAATTACATTTACGAAGAAATACCAAAAAAACATCAAGTTTAAATGTTTACTGAAAATTCAAAAATAATTAATAAACATTGTACATATAACAATTAAACATTTTAGAAAAAAGACGAAACGATTGTTAACACTTTTTAAATCAAATTGATTTAACCTACAAAATAAAGTTATGAAATGCCAGAACTCATCGTATAAAAATGATATAATAGAGAAATAAAAATTATTTTAGATAAATAGAGCCAAACAAACTAACAGGATTAAGGAATTATCATGATAAGATATAGTTTTATAATTTCTATATATTCTAATCACGTATGTATTAAATGTTTATCGATGATTATTGATATTTTCAAACATTTTGTATTTATATTATTATCATCTGCGCGAATTCTAGAATTGTATCTAAGTTCTATTTGTATGTATCATGATACAAGAATACGAAATATTCGTCTCTATTTAGTCTCTATTTTCACTTATGAAAACTGTGATCGAACTGAAGAACTGAGAAGGTGTGCCTTCGAACAAGCACAAACAAGCACATGATGTAACACAATGATTCATTACATCATTACATCCATATTGACTGTTCGTCAATATTAAGCAAAGATGACATGATTACTGTGTCGCACTGTGTCGCTTATTGGAAAGCACACAAGATCTAATAATCTACAAAACTTTCTATATGTTTGTTAATATTAGTAAAGAAGCAGGGCTAGCTAAAATAATATATAATTTATTGAAAAAATGTATATAAAATATATATAGATTCCGAAAACTTATTTAAGATATTAAATAAAAAATGGTCAGACAAGTTATTTAAAATAATAAATACTAAATAAATCTTTTTTTATTAAAACATATATTTTAAATACAACTAAGCCCTGGTAGAGAGTGTAGATGTAATGTTATGATACATACGTTAATTTGTGTTTAATTCAGAATGCCCTAAAAAAAATCACAGTGATTTAAGTGAAATTTACACAGTGGTTTAACTTAGATGATATCAAACACATCAAATATACATAAAAGAATGTATGAACGATGACAGATAATAGTAGTCTTACATGTTTTGATAGAAGATGATGTCATTAATATCTCAAAACGATTGTCAAGATAAAAAACTATAATGATAAAAATATAATGATAAAATTATACGAAAAAAATATTTAATCAAATTTTGATAAAGAAAATTTCAATTTCTAGATAAATACTGTCAAATGTGTTATTAAGTATATCAAAACCTATATATCTAATTCAACGTTTTCAGAAAATGGGATCAAATACTGTTTTTACGAATATACCTGTCATCAATCATAGCGACGTGCTAATCCTTTCGGTAAAACCTCAAGTTGTACCAAAAGTATTATCAGAGTTTAGGGTACACGACAACAAAAAATTACTCCTTTCTATCGCCATGGGCATTTCTTTGAAGTCACTAGAAAAGGTAACACGACTCTATCATCGAACAAAAATTCGTTAATGTATTATGGCTTATGATAAGAATTATTAAAGGAAAAAAAAGCACAATGTTGTCATACTACAGAGAGAATACTTTTAGGCACTGCCAAAAGAAACGCCCGTGATAAGAGTAATGCCGAACACACCTGTATTAGTTGGCTGCGGTGCTACGGTGTTTGCGCGTGGAAAATACGCGAGTGACAAAAATGCGGAGATCGCAGAAAAACTATTTTCCTCCGTAGGCATCTGCGAAGAAGTCTCGGAAAATTTCATTGATCCTGTAACTGCCTTGGCCGCTTCCGGTCCTGCCTATGTGAGCAACCATTCCAGTTTCAATTTTTTAGTTCAATTTTTTTAGTTGTGAACAATCTGCTGTAATGTTTTTATAAATAATTATTGGAATTAAATTTAAAAAATAGAGAAATGAAAAATAAGTTTTATATTTTTACGAGTTTTTTGAATCGTATAATTCGCGTTATCGATCTTTCTTTTATTTTTAAATTATCAAGTCTATTTCCATCTTTAAAAAAATGACTATTATTATAATGAAAATTTCTTAGATATATATGGTAATCGAAGCAATGGCCGATGGTGGAGTTAAAATGGGACTTACTAGGCCTATTGCGTATAAGCTTGCTGCACAAACTGTCTTAGGCGCTGGTACAATGGTCCGCGAGACAAACCTTCATCCAGGACAGCTCAAGGATGACGTAACTTCACCAGCAGGTTAGAATTTACTTACATTAAAATCTCTATTTTTTTCAGCTACAATATATATTTTTCTTTTTCATTTGCAGGCTCGACTATAACTGCTATTCATCAATTAGAGAAGCATGGCTTAAGATCGGCATTAATCAACGCTATAGAGGCAGCAACACTTCGATGTAAAGAAGTTAGTTTACAGATCAACAAGAATTAGTAATGACATTATTGTTGTATTGATATTTTAAGAAAGATATCAGGAGATATGATAATGTCTCGATATAAAATAATGTAAATAATGTTTTTCTGTTCAAAGAATATCAAATAAGATATAATAATTACACTTGAAAATACCAGTAATTCTTTACTGGATTTTAAGATGACATTTGAGATATCCCCTATTTTATATTAGGGATGTATTTATTAATTTTTATTAATTATATATATTAAAAAAATAATCACATTACTATGATAATTTGCTCATTATCACATTATTTGTGCTGCATTAGCACAAATAATGTGATAATGATCTTGTGATAATTTGAAATTTTAAGGAATATATAATATTTTTATTATTATTAAACTGTTGCAGTTTAAAATATACTGCTGTTGGTCTCTCTGATAATGTCGGTAGGATTATATAAATAATTATTTAAAGTATTAATAGATTTTCTTTTAATCATTTGGAAATTATCTTTTAGTTTTGAGAAATCAAAAATATAGATCTGACTAAATGATAATAATAAGTTCAATCTATTTGGCGCTACAAACGCTTCGAAGCATCAAATTGTTTGTAGTCAACTTTCAATACATTTTTACAAGTCGATACTATTTTTACAATATATATAATATAAACCATTTAGGCTGTAATTAATATAGAGTAAAAATTATATTCTTATAAAAATAATTTATAAAGTACTTATTACAATTTTTTTTTAATAATTGTAAAAATATTATAAGTGATTAAAATGTCTAAACAAAACTGACACTTAAAAATTATTGAGAAAATATATAAAAGGAAATTTTATATATTCCTATTAAAATTTACAAATAAATATCTTTATTCTATTCAAACTAATTTTTAATTACATACTTAATTATTTTAATTGTATTTTGATATATTTGTTAATATTTGATTGTATATAAAGGATTGTATATAAAGGATTAAATGATTAAATATTAAAAAGCTTTTTTGTTATTGTATCATTTAATAATTTTTTAATTTTAATGTTAAATAATTTTAATGTTTGTAATCATTAGGCACCAACGTGAAATATTTTTTTATATTCAAATTTATTTCTTGCATTCTTTATCTCAACTAACATTCGACATCAGTTTCTTTTCCTTAGCTTGCACACGTTTAAAACCAAGATTGAATTCGGTCTTAAATATTTCTCTATAATAACTTTCTTTCACTATATCACTTTCAGGTACACCTGTCTGTTTGCACTTTAACACATAGGATTTATGCATTGTGGCTATGTTTAGATTTGCGTCCAAATAACATCTACCACTACGATCCTTAGGATCTGTCGATTTCTCGGATGGAAAGGATCTAATATGTTCACGCACTCGCTCTTTTATGTCCTCACTTTTCTTAGTTTTTGGTGTGTGCCTACCTCTTTGGTCTGGTTCGATGATACCACTTGGTGACATTCGTTTTTTCTCCATCACATGTCGCACGAACTTTTCAGATATTGCGAATGTGCTGAGAAACATTGACTTGCACACAGTGATGAATTCACCATTCGATAAGAGAGAATACGTGAAGGTTACCTGCCGGCATCTCGAAGAATGCTCTGGCTGAACATTGTTGCGCAATCGAGTACGTTGTTTCGGAGATTCTTTGACAGATTTGGCGATATATTGCTTTCGCTGTTGCCATGTATAGATCCTCCAAAAAGACTTGTGCAATTCCTCGCGTTCCTTCTCATCTATCTTTTCCGCACAATGCATGCGACAAATGCAGGGATGTCCCATCTTTTTAGCTGGCACTATTTTGCCTGAAAAACACAAACTGTTAATTTTTTGTCTATTAATCTAATCTGTTTATCGTCTCTGTACTTACCTCCAACCCCAATGTATTCTTCCCCCTTTAATCTAGCATTTTTCTTCAAATTTATTTTCCAGTTTTCAGGTTGCTTTATACGTTTCATAGATTCTTTATGTTCCTTCAATAGTTTTGTATTCTTTCTCTGCTTAAACTTAACTGAACTTTCTGCGAAATCCTTATTACTAACTGACAGTGGGTCTTGTGACTCATCTATTGTTTGTAAATTCAGTATATCTCCTGTAACAACAGTGCAATTGCAATAAAATCTAATAGGAATTGAAATAAAGAGCGATCAAACTCCAATTAACACAATCAGCACTATTTTATTAATACGATTAAAGTATTGAAAAAAGATTAAGAATTAATTACATGTTACAGATTTTGTCTTAAGCAGTTAAGTTCTGCCTGTTGAGTTAAATAAATTAGTGTTTGATCGAAGTATAGCCTTAAGCATCAATCTCTGCAACTTTAAGTTATTGATAATTTTATATAATCTTTTGTTGCAAGACTTATCTGGAAAAAATACTTAGTAAAAATGTACTTATTAACAGATAAGTTTCTACAAGTCCAGCTTCAGAATGCGGGATGAATCGGGATGTAAGATTTACATCTTCAGTAGCGATGCCTTTTAACCATGCTGCATTCATTTGTAATTTATTTGAATTTTCTGCTGACACTAAATATTAACAAGAGAAAGTGATGATAAGTGTCTGATCGGAATTCGGAGCTGAGCGAATATATGAACGAGTTTGAGTTTACCCATGTTGTTAGCACCATGCTTGTAGAATACAATCGAGTGTTGAATTTCCCGCTGTCCATCTACATTCTTCTCTGTCAACCATTCTTCTATCTTCGTGTACTCTTCTAGCAGCTTCATTTCTTCTGCATCCTGTTTTATTTTGCGCGTCACATCTTCCACAATTAGTGAATTCGCGTTTCGAGTGTTATGTGTTGTGAAACGAGAACAAATTTCGCGAAATGTCACAGCGTGATCGAAAACAATAAAAAAAGATAAGCAAGCGTAAAGGCTAAGTCACGTTCTGTCGAGGGACAATTTGTAGCGCTGAAGGATCCAAGTGTTTATGATCGCGAAAATGTTGTAGACGTTTCTCTGTACCGGTTAGAATTGACTCGACATAGATGAATTTCAAAGAGGACGTATTACTCGTAGCACAACGGCACGACGAGATCATCATGTGTATTTCATCACGCGCACGATATTGTGATAGATTGTCACTTGCTATCACTGTGAAATCTGATGCACTTGATGCAACTTAACTTGATGTGATATGGAACCGTCGATTTTAGCGAGATTATTTACTTCTCAGATTCACACAAGGCAACCTCAAAGACAATCTCGTGCACTAACGACCTCTCAAGATACGCGGCTAAAGCGAGAACCAACAATTGGAGAAAAACGCGCAAAAACAAGAAAAATTACAGGATTAAATTGCAAAACTTTAATCCTAGTTCTAATTACAATATTAATAAAAATACAAATCATAAAAATGCATCTATGCGTGACATTCATTATTTATATCATAAAATTAAGTTTTTTTTTCAAAATTTGAGAATATTTAGCTATAAATACTAATATTTAAAAATATTTGATTCGTATTCCTTGGTCGTTCTTAACTTCATCTCATTATAATATCCCTTTCATTAACTGTAATCTCGATTTTATCATCAAGACACTATTAAAGACTGATATCCTTACGGAAGTGTCCTTGTGAATATTAAAGTGATTAAGAGAGTTAAAAACTGATAATATTGTACTAATTTTATGATTTATTAGTTTAATAGATGTAATTACGCATTTATAATTCAATAATACTCGATTTTTCTTTAAAATTGTGATTTCATCCTGATTGTGATTTATTATTATCAAAGTTTGATTATCAACAGAGATAATCGCGAGAGAAAAAAATTGTAATTTTTCTGTAATATATAGAACATTAGCTTTACAAGTATGCATATTTATTTATGGAACATTATGTAATAAAAAATCATGAATTTAATAAAATTTGTCCGAAGTTGACAGTCTTTAATAGTCTTGTCAGTGATTTACTCACTCTTTATCTTTTTCTAATTCTTAGAACTGGAAAAAGAAAGTAAGTTAAACCGATATTAAAATTATACTCTAAATTGTAGAAATGGATATATATAGCATAGATACATTTAGCTGTACTTTTTGCAACAATTTTTTACAACATATCCTTGTCCTCCTTAGAGATATTTTTATTATCTCAAATTGTGTTTATTTTATTCTTATTTTACATTGATGAACAACAAAGATAAAATGATACATCATGCGTAAAACTAAACGCATCCATTAACGCTCGTTTCCATCAATGTGTTCAATTTACTCTTTATCTTTTTCTAATTTTTAGAAGTAGAAAAAAACGAAGAGTAAGTTGAAATGAGATTAAAGTTAATCTATTATTTGTTTTCTATTCTTGCACTAGATTGTTCTAGAACTCTCTTCCTCACTTTAAACAAATATGAACCCAAATAGAACAGCAAATCAAAATGACATTAAATAACATCAAAATGATATTAAAATAAATCGAAAATGATTGAAAAATGACTTTTAATGATCATTTTGGAGTTATTTTGACATCATTTTGATATCATAATGACTTGTTATTCTGTTTGGGAAACATATATCTATCTCATTTTAAGTTCCAAAAGTGTACACTAGTTCAGCCACAGAAAACAAACCTTACATTGGTGGAAATGGGCATAAGTACATGCACAAAGTACAGCTATTGCAAATACATCCAATTGCCGCGCTGTGATTGGTCCGCCGTTGGCGCCACTTCGATAAATTTAAATTTTCGAGGCAAGCGAGCCAAGCAGTTCATAATGCGTCATGGCGGATCATGACAGCGCATTCGAGTCGCTCCGTATTTTTCGCGACCGTTACTGATTTAAAGTGAATCCTGCGTGAGTGGAATTATCGTGTGTCATATTGAATGTTGCGTATGATCATTATTGTGTTTATACCGCAATTTCTGTATCGATAAGCCGCCTCTCTGTGCGACTTGGAATCGAACTGAAATCAATAACGGATTTTTTAAACTTTAAGTTTGTTTGATGTGGAAACTTCTATGATATCGTGACTCCAAACGCATATTTATTTCGTTCATAACAGAAAATTTAATCCTGGATGCAGTTTATCGTGAATAATATAATTCAGTGGCGTGAATGTGCGATAGTTTCTCAAGTGAGCTCCATGCGATCGTAACAAAAATTTGAAAAGACCTCTGTCGCGGTTCGGAATTAATTGAAATTATCTCAGCCGTTATTTTCTTTGAAAAATAGCAAGATTCACTCGATATTCATGTGATTTTAATTAGAATTACACATTCTCGATAATATGAAAGTATTCCCGATGTTGAGAATTGTACTTCGCAAGCGTTAAAACTATTTGACCTGAAAGCTTTTTCAATATTGAAATTCTAGAAATACATCTATTTCATTTATAATGGAAACATACATCTACGGATGCAATTTATCATAATTAACAATTCGGTGATGCGAATGTTTCTCAAGTGAGCTTCAAGCGAAGTTGACTGAATACCAATTCGAACGGTAGCCGACAGATGTCTCAGCGAGTATCTTTCTCGCCATGACAGTTACGCCGGCCACATGACCCCCACGGTCCACCATCTTGCGTGTGTTTGTCGTGGATGATCGCGGACTTTGTTGTGCGCGTCCGCGAATTTCGGCGTGACGCGTGATATGTGTGGACGTAAGGGTGCAGCGAGGTGGAAGGCGTTCGACGACGGTGACGCAACGTGACGACTCAGCTCGGAGGGTGTCCGGCGTGTGCGGTGACGAGCGGCCCGGGAAGGCAGACGACGCTGGGCGTCTCTTCGGTGAGTCGTTGCTTTTTCTAGATTCATAGCTTTATCGCACATCGTGGTCGTCGCGACATCGATTTTTCTTCTCGCCGTTGCGGCGGACTCCTGGGGCGGCTCGTGGCGAGGACTGTCACGTGTTGCAGCGTTTATTCCTTTAATGGTCGAGCGTGTGGCCTCTCTCCTCCTCTCGTATCTGTTACCTAACTTTACCTGCTTGCATCAGCTGGGAACGTGTCCGAATTTTACAACTTGGGCGCGTTCACATACAGAAAAATATATGCTGTACGTAAATAATTATTAATTGTTTCAAGTATTTCAAAAGTTCATAAGTTCCGTAAAACTATCTATAAATTCATCATAAACATTAAATCTATTCAAAATATATATTGTGAATCTTCTAATGAGTTTAACTCTTTGGCGACCCTCAGTCTCTACTTTGATGCAGCAACTTGAGTGGCCAATGAGACAATAGTTTGATCTGGACGAACTTTAAAGTTTTGATTATACTATCAATATGGGTAGTCATTGGATGGAGAATCATATGTTTTCTTTTAGGATACATAATATGATACGCTTTCATAATACGGTAGGATTTTATCTCTAGTGAATAGTGCGCCCACTGCAAAGAGTTAATACTTCAACTAAGATTTTTAAATGAAATAAAAATCAAAGCAATTTACTTATTATATAAAGTCATTTCTTTGATCAATTTTATAATGTTCTTGAAAAAATTAAGCCTAAATTCTTGTTTGGAGTATGTTATGAGTTTTTCTATAATTTGTAATAAATATATCTTAAAGTTATTATCAAGAAAATATATTTTATTAAAGATTCTTAAAAAAATTAATTCTTGTTTGGAGTACGTTATGAAATTTTCTATAATTTGTAATAAATATATTTTAAAGTTATTATCAAAAAAGTATTTTTTATTAAAGATAATAAAATAGAGTAATTATTTTTCTTAGTAACAGAATGATATTTTTTTGTGTGCAGAAACTTCTCCTATATTCTGTTCAACGACAGGTTTAAAATGAAGACATATCCTTGTATAGATATTGTATACGTAAATACAACATGCTCAGGCCTAGATTTAGAAAATTCAATGAGTAAAATAATTTTGATATTCCACTTTGCGCTATGCTTCCTATATGTATGCACAAAATTAGAAATTCTCAAATACGAAAATGAACGTCATACATTTGATCCATCATATTTTTCGGGACCTGCTTAAGATAGAATGAAATATCCACGCACCTCATTTTATCTTAAACAAATCCTGAAAAATATGGAAAACCAATCAGAGGTTGTCTAAACGGTCTCCAATCTCTTATTTGAAGATCTCTACGTGAAGGGAGAAAATCTCTTGTTAAATAGAATATAATAGCATATATATGTATCATATATATATATATATATATGTATCATTTTAACTTTAGACTTGTTTTTTATTCCCATACTAGACTGCACTAGAACTTTTTCGTTTTTACCGAATAGTACAAATGTATATCTATCTATAACACTTTAAATTCCAAAACACTACAAGAGACTGATGTGAACCTGGCGCTCAACTTTATCAAAAATAAAAATTAATACCGTAAGCCGTTTGTACTTCGTTTGTACTTGTTTGTACCGATTATTATTTCGTTTGTATCTCAAACAGTTAAACAAAAAGTGAAAAATAAAAAATGGCCAAAACGCTCAACTTTAAGATTTTTTAAATTTCATTTGTACCATTCGAAAGAGAATCGTTTGTATCTCTCCTACTTTCGTTTGTACCCGTTTGTACCTCTCTTACTTTCGTTTGTACCTCAAAGGTTCGGAGATACAGCGATTTCAAAATTTCGGAAATGCGCCAAGAGGGGAAGTCGGTCATTTTTAAAGATATCAAAATGGGATCATTGGCGAAAGGAGACGTATAAACGGGTACAAACGATTCTTTTTCGAATGGCATAAATGAAATTAAAAAAATCTTAAAATGGAGCGCTGGCCATTTTTTATTTTTCACTTTTTGTTTAACTGTTTGAGGTACAAACGAAATAATGATCGGTACAAACAAGTACAAACGAAGTATAAATGGCCTGCGGTATTAATTTTTATTTTTGAGTGTCAGATTCACATCGATCTACAAGAGATCTGTTTTTTACAGTTCAGTTCCAGAAAACAGATAGATCTCTCGTTTAACGTATTCGTTGAACAATAAAGATAAAATGATACGCAGGTGCACTCGGATGAAGTTGCTGAATGGTTTTGTTGATGTCATGAAGTGGATGGTCAGCTTCGAGCCGCCGCGAGATCGACCGCGTTTCACAATTCCGTCGACTTCGACGGGATCTTCGCTCGCGAGATTTTTTTTATCGCGAGGCGCGTCGGATAATATATTACAACCGCTTATGTCAGCGCATGCATGATCGACGATGCTTGCGTGTATGTAAGAAAATAAATGCATGTTTCGCGAAGGTTGCACATGTTACTTCAACGCAGTGGTGTGATCACTCTGTAAGAACTTGGCGTTCGATCGTATACAAATATGAGCATGTCATAGCGATGGTGTCACTTTCATATTAGATCACCTTTCGCAGGTATACATCAAGATTCCTTGTAGATCGAAGAAAAGATCGAGAATACGTCAAAGGAATTGACTAAATAAGGAATAAAGATTTGACATATCTGGAATTAGGAATAAGGAATTAGTTTCCAAATAAAGAGAAGTCACGTATTCACATTTAATTTCTTATTTCTCTCAAGAGAAAAAAAAGGAAAAAAAATGCTTCTCTATTTTGTAGTTAATTCTCTTAACTTTTTGTGTTTAATTCCTTTTAAATTCAGTTTTTTATGTCTAGAGCGTAATGATTCTTTCTGAAGGTTAAATTACAAATTATTCACATAGCCTTCGATAGCTCAGTTGGTAGAGCGGTGGACTGTAGTGTGAGTAGAGATAGAGAGAGACATCCATAGGTCGCTGGTTCGAATCCGGCTCGAAGGAATTTTTTTTCCCGACTGCGATTTCTTTGCTTTCATTTTACCGAGCTTCTCTCCACGAATTAGAATCATATCTGTCTCTAACATATTTTTGTTAAAAAAAGAAATTGAGAGCACGTTTTAAAAACTGTTTTTTAAAATATTTTTTATATACACAGACGATTATAAACAAATAAAAACCTGTTAATCGTTACTTGTTATTCAATAAATAAAAATTAATACAATGGAATATCAACATTTAGAGAAGAAAGATATTTTTTATACAATTGTGTATTAATAATTGCCAAACATATTTTACAGCTTGTAAAATTTTTAACTTTGACCTGCTTTCTCTTCTACTGAAACAATTAATGTGATTGACCAATATTAAGCTTGCGAGTACAAAAAAAAAACAGATTGTGTGAAATTTATAATTCCCAAGAAAAATACATACTGTATGCAAGTGATAATTATTATGTGTTTCTAATATTTCAAAATCTTTTCATCTATTCGCAAACTTATCATAAATTCATCCCAAGCATTAAATTTATTTAAATTATATTCCGAATTCTAATAAGATTATTAAATTAAAATAAGTATATTGATTTGCTTAATTACATAAAGTCACATCTTCCGTTAATTTTCTTTAAAAGAAAATAAAATTCTTATTTTGAATATACAATGAATTTTTTTACAATTTGTAATAAATAATATTTTAAGAAAATATTCTTCATTAAAGTTAACCATTACTTAAAAGAAGGAAATAAATTGAAATGAATAAATAATGACTTTTCTTAGCAATAGAATGATATTTTTCTGTATGTGTATTGCAAAAATGTTCATTAATGCACATGTATGCCCGCCATTGTAATCTGGTTAAGCAAGATGAGAAATCACGTTGTTATCATAGTTCTGTGTCGACTGCCGATAGCATAACGATATCGCGCGATGGCACGAAGAGCATCGTAATCTGAACGAATGAGCTTAAAACGAACGATGGCGAACGGATGAAACTATGAATATTCGCGATTAAACGGATTAAAGGCCGAAAAATATCCACATTATCGGACATATGGGGCGCCATAAGGTGCAGTCGCGCGCTCACGATATATATCCGCAGTAATTTATAGCTGCACGCTCTAATCGTCTTTTCCAACTATAATTTATTACTACTCCATCCATATTTATTGGCACTTCGGCCACTGCATTCTGCCGACCATCAGATTGGTTATATTGTTGGTGGTCCGATACACACTGCAATAAATTATCCAGCGCGCGAAGGTGCGACGGCTGACGCGTACTGATAGATTGCAGAGAGAAGAGAAACGATTTATTTAAGCACTGCGGTATTTTACACGGCCCGTAACAATTTTTGATGTATATATATATATGTATGCTTTGAGATATACAGCTCGTTTCATGAACCGCGAATTAAAGTGGGAAAAAAGTAATAGAGAAATAGATCTGTTAGCGTTATTTGTCTTTTTGAGAGAGAGAAAGAAGCATCTTCATTTTCTCTCTTTTCAGTACTCGATATAAGCATATTTATCTCTGTTAAGTGCAAACATTTTTAGGAATTTCAAGTAACACGAACAAAGTTAAGTCAAGTTGGCATTTCTGCGAATTTTTACAGAATTGATGTGCATTTGATTGTCCACAAACAATATTCATGCATGGAACAAAATTAATTCGATCAGTACTTGTGAAAATATGTTTTGATTGATCCGAGATATACGTGGCGGATAATTTATTAATAATTTCCAAAAATACTTAACATTTTTTTACGCGTATAGTATAATCTTAAGTGGTGCACTGAAAAAAAATCTGCTTGGATTAATTAGAATTCTGGTTGAACAATGAATAAATTAGAATTTTCTAGTTGAATCTATTTATTAGATCTTCTTTCATTAATTCTAATTAACTCTAATCGATGATTAATTCAATTATCGATCGCTAACTGAGAAGTAAACAGTTTGTCTCATAAGAGGAAGAGAGAGCAGATGTTCTGATAGATTAAACTGCTGTTGGCACTTCTGCGAGTTGTGTGATCGTCGATT